GCCGGCGTATATTTATTTTTATTAGTGCGCCGCCGGAGAAAGAGATTTAATCGGGGGCGACGCCTAATTTGGGCATGCGATGCTAATCATTCTGGCACATCCCTCGGGATTCTCGTTTTGGTTTCTCGTTATACATAGCCGCGCTCTCATGCAGCCACCGCTTTGATGGATGCGCCTTTCATTAGTGCTAATTTATTGCAAGCTCATTAAATTGCGAGTAAAATTTTTAACTAGCACCGCGGCTAGGCGGTTTAATGCAAATATATCCCTCAAGAAAAAAACAACAAGACCCTCATTAAACGCCTCCAGTAGAAAGCTAGCTTCGCAAACTAGAGCAAATATATGTTGTAAAATTCAAAACTGAAATTTTGATGGTGTTTAATTTTAAAAGTATTTCATTGAAAAAAGTTTGCAGCATTCTGAAATTTGTAAATTGATTTATTAAGTAATGATCCGATTGATTAATAGATTGTCCTAATTGACCAAAATGTTCAACTTGTTTTGCAACATAATCATAAATTTGCGAATGACACGTTTCTTTAATTTAAAATAATTTTACTCGCAGCTTTCTACTAATTGACCTGCTCTCAACGCATATTCATTCTATTATCAGCGACCCGAGATCTGCGAAATCACTTTTTTCGACACACGGACGCCCCCGTTGGTTTGAACATGGAGTGTCCAACCGCAGGTGCTGCGTGGCTTAAAAGAAAAGCAATTAAGCACTGTCGCGTGTGGGACGCTAAAATTATAATTGTCTGCAACTCACATTACACGCATCACAACCCTGGGTGTAGTTTTAAAATTCATTAAGACCGACAGTGAAAAAATATTAAATTGTATTAAATTGCGACATTATTACACATTATTTCTTGGCAGCAGTAATTGAGTTGTTGCTTTTTCTACTTTCAGCACAAGAAAGTGCACTTTGCGTATTTATGGCGTATTGGATCGCATAAAGAAGTTGAAACCTTTTCTCTCTCCTACTCGAAACGCGACTACACACAGCTACCTTTTATCTTTTCCACCTTTCCTCCGGCACTGATTGAGCTGCATTCTGTGGTTTATTCATATGCACAAACATCTCTACTCAGGTACGTCTGCATGCTTTATGGTCGCATGCATTTCCATAAAATACAAATAATGCTGGGTGTATTGTGTGCATATTACAATTTTCTTCGACCAAGAGCTCATAAATCCAAAGAATCTTTATAGTAAAAATACAAAACCGGAATAGGAGAAATTTTTAAAAGATAACTTGGTAAGAGTTAACGATTTAAATAAAAATGCAAATTTTGGTCCTTAAATATTTTCAAGCAAAATAAGAGCTTCACAATTGTTTACAATTATGATTTATTTTTCATTTGGGAATTGCTCTTGTTAAATTGGATTCGTTTTTAAAGAGTAGCTTAAATCCTAAAATTGAAGTTGAAATAGCGAAAAAAGAAAATAAGTAGTTTAATTCTACAAACAATTGCGATGGTTTTATTGTGTTTGCTCTAGGTGGTTTTCTCAATATTTAGTTTCTCCAAACGAATTAATAAATTTTAGTTCATGATTTTATTTGCATTAGAGAGGCCAATAATTTACATTGAAATATTTTCTAGATGAAATAAAAACCAGCAAAAATCAATGTTTCTTTTAAATGCATTTTTCCCTCTAATATTCACCAGTTTTTTTTCTATTGCAGTCTGTTTGGTTTGAATATTAACATTGGTTTATTGCATCATAAAATTGCATGACTCCTCTGCTCATTCAACAATTTTGATCATATCTTCAAGCAGCAGAAAATCGACTTATTTATTTTTGTCGAGGTATAAATCTGGTTTTTAAATATATAAATAAATTAAATTGTCATAACCATCATAATAAGAAAATAAAGTTTTTCCCATTACGTACGAATTTTCAATAATGTCACCGAAAGACTCAAGTTTAAAAGCAAAATTCAGATGAAAACTTAGTTACATAATTATTGTCCGCAGCTCTTTACAACGTTGATTAATGCCCATAAGTATTAATTACAAAGCAACATAAACATCGCTTAGCGTCAAAAGCACAACGTGAAACGTCAAAACTGCTGCTCTTCAAGCTGCGCAATGAAAACTCATTTCCGCAGCTCGCTCTTTGCTGGAACGTGTAACAAACATAGCTGCGAGCGGAATGAAGAAGTGCTTTCAGTGCTCTCTTTCCAATTTGCATATACGCACGCAGAGAGCATAAAAGCTGAGAGCAAAACATATAAAACTCGCTCGCTCGCTCCCTTCGGAACATTTATTTTGCTACAAACTATATCTGCAATACATATCTAAACCCACGTGCGTGTGCACTAGAAAAAAGAAGTGTGTTTGTGCTGAAATGGTCAATTAAGGCAATCAGGAATCGTTTTGCATTCGCAACGAACGCTCATAAAAATCACTTAAACACGGCTCTCTCCGCGTCAATTTACAACTTTATCTCTTTAGCGGGAAATTCTCTCTCTTCCTTCAAGCCCGGCCCTGAGTGAGTGCAGGTTATGACTCAAGATGATTCCAATGCCGCGCATTTTGCTCACCGCGGAATACTATAAAATAGCTCAACTTTCGTTTGTTGTTTTTGTTGTCGGTGGAAGCGTGTGAGGCCAAAATTCCTTTTTTGGGGAAGCGGCCTTCACCTCTGCGGGCACCTTTTCCTATCTGATTTCCCCTCATTTTTTTCATCTACGTGCAACCATTGTTTTGTTTCCCGCCACAGATAAATCGTTACGCGCTAACAGCTTAATTGTTTGATGGAGAGTGATAAAGGCTCCAGTACAAAATCAGTGATCGCCAAGTCGTGAGAGGCTAAATTCAATGAGAAATAAATTGCCTGTGGCAAAAATGAATATTATTACGCTAAAGTGTGAGTTGATACAGTGTAATGTAGCCAAAGATAAGTAATCTCTAAATATTAATTTGGTGAGAAATACAACACATAAATACATTCAAAAGTTCATTATAATTTATAATACAGAGTCCCTGCGGCTAACTGACTTACTTCAGAATCTGCTATTTATTGGCTTTCTATTTTAATATCAAAACTAATTTTTTCAAAGACAACTCTAAACTTACTAGGATTTAGCAACACTAAAAAATGTCCCCGAACGTCCTTTACTTTATTAACAATGAGACGTACCGTTTTAAGAGAGGGTGTAAGCAATTCAGGAGTGAAAAATGATGGAAATCCAAATCGGTCGTCGAAACAAATACCGCAAGTCGCGTCCTGATTTCGCATTACCTTTTTGGTCAACCAACCCATTAAAAAAGCAAATGCGATTTTTCTCATCTCATCTCTCCAATGGGCGTTGCTGGTGGTTCATTTAATATAAAAAGCCGCAGCCTCAGAGCCTTACTATATTTTGTGTAGGATGTTTGCGCTTTTTCTGCTGTTGAATTCCGTACTAAATTTTGAAGCTTAGTTAGCTTTCAAGCCTTAGCTAGGCAATGTTATGAAAATCTTTGTTTTGAATTTTAATCATTATTAACTGCTTTTATAATTTTATCGTTGCCCTTGATTTTGTTTTTGTGGGAAAAATCGTTTAAAAATTACTTTCGAATCCTATTATTGAGGAGTAGAAGCAAATTCCTTGGGGGAAAACATGAGAATTTGCTGAGCAAATCTAGAAGTAAGAAAAACAATTCAAGCGGTTCTGCAAATTTTTTCTGCACTGCCGGCAGTTGTTTGCTGTGCAGGTGGGCAGCTGACTAGAATTATCAATGAAAATGCTTTCAGGCGACTCCTCTGTTTGCTCTTTTGCTTTTCTCAGGTGAATTCTGGGAACCAGTACTGTTTTTAGATTTGCGAGCGATCGGCAAAAAATATAAACGTCTAAAATCGTTCTGAGCCGGTCATTCATGTCGTAAAAGGAAGCATTGCTGTGTGTAATGAGCGCATGTCAAAAATTCCCTTGTGGTGCCTTTTCAAGAAAACGTTCGTTGTTCAGGAGCCGCATTTTTCTCATGTCCCTGGCTGAGAATTGAAATAACTGCTGGTACACGAATCTGCAAAGAGTAATGAAAAAAAAGGCAGACATGAACAAAATTAATAAACAAGTTTCGGAATTAAACTTTTTCCACGACCTCTAATTTTTGGCGACAAGGATTTTGGCAAACGGGGCAAAAGGACATCAATATTTATGTATTAGCAGCCGGGCGTTGGTGTTGGTTTGTGCGAAAAGCGCGTCCAATCCAATTAGGCGACAACACTGCGACGAATTTGATCAGACCTTGTTCCTAACACGCTACTTAATTGCCTTCCTGTGCATATTTATTACATTAGTGTTTCTCCAAAGACTAACAAGAAAATGAAAGGCGTTTTTGCCATAAAAATGGATAGTTCATCGATCCAAGCATTTATGTATACTGATTTTAAATAAGCTTATATTATTATTATTATTTTTTCGGACTGAGCAATAGCAAATGTTTGTCAGAGCAGGTTTGTTGCAAATGTGATTCATCCAAGGACGCGCAGCAGCAGGTTGTGGTTTTCCTTTTAATTACCGCTGATTTTGCTGGCAAGACAAAAGGAAACCGGACCCGCGGACCTTGGCAGTAAAACTGCTGCCGAATAACTCGATCGTCTGGTCATCCGACAAGGCTTTATCCCTTTTACTTAATAATGTGCAGAACAATGAAAGAGGGCCGAGGAAATAACTAACGGCTTTTTTCAGGCAGCGCTCGAAATGGAAAGTGCCGGTTCGAGCCGGCTCAGGAATAAATTATTCCGACTTTTTCTGGACCCGCATATATTTTGAACAAGGAACAGAGCAAGCGTCTCTTTTGGCCACTTTTGCCGAATAACCTTTAAGACTCATTGAACAGGTCTAGTGCGCCTTTATTTGTATATTTCACCACACCCCCACACAAACACTCAAATCGGGCAAGGTTAGAGTGAAATAACACGGCGGCCGGAGCACTTTTTCTCTGATTTTATCAAGGTCTCCCAGGATCCCGTCCATATTTGTGGCAAAAATTAAGTGCACGTACCTTAATGTCGAGATGCACAATCTTCCGGTCGTGGATGTAGGCGAGTCCCTCAACCAGTTGACGCACAAAGTGCTGCACGTCGGACTCGAATGGTACCATGTTTTCGTCTATGATGGTCTGCAAATCTCCTCCAGGCGCACTATAAATATTTGAAAAATTCAAAATGAAAATCTTTAATTATATTTACATATTTGTAACAGAATAATAATGAATAAATAATAAAAAAGTATACTCAAAAAGTACAAAATATGATTCTCAGGAATCAGAGAAGGCTATCAAATTGATATAAATTAATTGATTGCTTTTTTAGTTAAATAATATTTGGGTGTCATTCAATGGCTTTAGAGCCTAATATTATTTACAAAATTTTCCTAAATAATACATTTTACGAAAATTGTATCTGAAATTTTCCTCTGAATCAAAATGAATAAAAATATTTTTACTTTTTTAAACATTTGAAATCTAGTTTCAGAAGAATGATTGACTTACTATTCTGAGAGGATGATGATTTCTTTTGCCGTTTCAAATACGTCATGTAGTTTGATAATTCTGGACGAAGGCGAACAAAGGGACAGTAGGGTGAGTTCGTGGTAGATCTCGGCGCTGCAGTCCTCACCGTAGCGAACCCTTGAGCAGAATTTGGCAGCAAACAGCAGGCCCGTTTCTTTTGATCGGCAACGTCTGACCGACGCAAACATGCCACTGAAACACGCAAGAACAAACAAATAAATTTTAATGAACAATTGAAAAAAAATTATTTGCACGGAAATTTACACTTGAGAATGATTTTTTAATCCAACTTTAGATAATCGCAAATTGATGTATCAAGTTAAAATTTATTGTTGTTGACATCTGATAAATATGCAAGCTCCAAAACTTTTAAGTGGACGTGTCCGCGAAAACACGCATCAGTTTCAAGATCACTTCCATTTCAACCTTTGCTGAGCGCGTGGGATCAATAAATCCTGCACGTCGTGTGCTCGCTTCCTATTTTTCGAGATTTTCCAGCAAATTAAATTATTCCACGCGTTTCAAGGCGCGTGCGTTTATTAAGTGCCAGTCTATTTGCCAGATGATTGAAATTGATAGTTGGAGCGCCGGAGGAACGCGCTCCAGTCGACACAGTCAGCAAGTGATTAATTAAGTATGCATTGCTGGCCGACCTTGCTGAATATTAATTCCTCCACTCCTTTTTGAAACAATAACGCTGCGCCAGATCATCATTTGTGCGCCGAGGAAATGAGCAAATACCGTGTAGCCAAGGTAAATATATCTGCGGCAAGTTCTCAACACATTGTATTTTATTTGATCAGTTTCTTGCCTAATGCATCTAATCACACTTGCATCACTATGTTAACACGCTGAGGTACAAACGCGCTAGTCGTTATGCAATTATTTGTGAATTTTCTCATTCTCATTGAAAAATTAATTTCCCAAATTTTATTATCTTAATTTGTAAATTGTTATTTTATTTACAAATTCCGTGTTAAAAGGGGTAAAAACAGGTAAAAATGATATTTTTATATTTGTAAGAAAATTCGGCAATTAATTATTTTCATTTAATAGTAAGATTAATATTTATGTAGCCCGCGTAACATTGTGAAGTGAAAAATTAATGTGATGTAATTTTGGTTAATTTTTAATTCCGACTCTCAAAATACCTATCAATTTTTATTTAATTTTCACGTGCAAAAAGAATTTAAGTTGTAACATTGAATATTTACAAAAAAAAAAAATGATAAAAGTGCTAATTTCAATACAAAAATGTTAAATATAAATTACTTGTATTATTTTACTGCAAAGGTATATAGCTTTTTTTTTAAATATTAAAATAAAAATAAAACTTTTCAAAATGAACATAAGATCACTAGTTGAGAATTTTTAGAAGTAGCATAATTAATTTTGAGCTGAAAATTTAAATATTGATCGTAAAACATCAACAAGAAGAAACGCAGCGCTGATTGAGGTGGTTTGCACACCTCAGTCGGAGACATTTCTCAAGCCAATCAGAGAAAACCGTGCGACAAAAACACATGCACACTTCAATCACGCAGCGAGTGCCAGAAGAAAAACGCACTTTGCGGCGGTCGCTAATCCATCCGCATCAGACGTTTTAATTAATTACTCGTCAGACGTCACAAAAGGAGCATCTCAGTGAAATCACAAACAACAACACTTATTACTAAATGGCTCAATTTGGTAAACGCACTTTCCTCCTCGCGACCGTAAAGGCAAGAAAAACACCTTCCTCAACCCTTTGGCCGGACAGAAAAAAGGTTGCGGCGCCACGATGGCGAGCGTCCTTGCCACCTTGATCCCCTATTGCTTTTGAAAGAAGCTCGCGTGCGCGCCAATCAATCATAATAGGCTGCTGTGCCGCAATTTATGTGGCGCGTGCAATAACATCGATGACTCCTCCATAATATTTACTGCAGAGACGCCTCTTGTCCCATATACTGCGACTGGAGCACACTTTGGACTTGACGAGTGCTGGCGTCGCGGCCAGAAGAAAATTGATATATTAAATAATGCAACTTGGTCACTAGACGCGACTCTAGGAGTGTGAAATTGACGAGAACTGCAGACTGCAGCACATGAATAAACCATCAATCGACATTTTCCTTTCGTATGTGCTCGCTTATAATTCACGGTCTTATACATGCTATATTACCCATGCTATTACCCATGGTTTGATTTATGATGCAAATTTTATCGACGTATTACGCTGTGATCGAAGTGTGTTACACGCAGGTAGAAATTATGAAATTAATCAGCATCGCGTTTTGAAAATAAAATTTAAATTATCTCTGATCTAAACTCTAACACTTATACTATTTTCTTTAAAAATAGGGCAAAAAATAGTATAATATATGAAAAAAATTGGATGACAAGGTCATTTCTGTTTGAAATTAGTGAATTCTTATATTACACTCTGCAAAATTTGTGAAATAAATGTTTCCAAATTGCATCCTTATTCTGATGCATTAAAATTATAGGCTTCCACTTATTGAGTATGTATTTTTTAACTTAATAAAAATGTTGAATCCAATTGTAGTTCTTATTATTGTTTGTGTGCTCATAATAAGTCACCGTGCCATAAATAGTTTAAAACATTTAACATTTCCGCGCAAGAGATAATAGCATGATATATTATATGGCACTAATAGCATTAAATAACCATCAAGAATTTGTAAACAATAAGGAAATAATTGGAATACACTCTCCAATCTGGCCTTGGTTGCCATTTTCGTTCATAAATTGTGCCGCGGTGGGTGGGACTTTTATTTTTATTAATGGTACCAAATAATCTTCCTTGTCGATATTGGCAGTCCGCGATTAATCAATTCGGTTGCAAGGCAATAATATTTTGACTTGCTCTTGTCTACGGTTCGGTGAATCATATTCCAATTTGCTATTAATTTTTCTCATTATTCAAACTCTTGCTTGCCTGTAAAACCAACAAAGAGCGTCGACATCAGTCCAATAACATAGACATTCAATCAGTGTTAGGCCGAAAAGAACAAAAAGTTGGTCTGTGAGTGCCATGACAAGAGATGCTGTCGCGCACTCTCTTGCATGGATGGTTCAGCATCCAACCTAATTTAAAGTCAAAGAAACACTTTGTGGCCAACAGCCATACGCTATGTTCCATAAATATTCACGCTTAATATGAATATGGAAATGCGCCGCCTCGATAGACGATATCACTTTTTGGCAAGGCCGACAAAAGGTATAGGAAGGAAAAAGAAACACAAACTGCCTCCCGCAGACAGCGGCGTATGCAAATTTAATTTCGTGCCGCCAAGTTGAAACCGGAGAAGAAGCAGATTCGAAAATTATCATCTCGAGTGTGAATAAAGGTTTGCGAAAAAACGCGTTAACCGTCATGTTCACAGATAGTTGCGGCTTCTACATTTCGGTTTCGACCGCAACCATTTTGCATTTAATTCTTACAGCATCGATAACTCCTGTTCAAATAGTTTGTATTGCCATTAAAAATCAATTAATAAATGTAGAAATAAATATAAATTTTATTTCCCAACGGTGGTGGCTAAGGAAGTTGTTGGATTCACATTTAAGTGCGCAATAAACACGTAGTTGACAATCGCGCGCCTGTCCATGAACCTGATATTTGCCAACAGCGAGAGACGCTTCTCTTGTGTACAGATGTGTTTGCACGCATCGTCAGGAAAATACTTTTTATGTTGGTTCTGAGTGGACATTTTATGTTACTCGATGCTAAAACCACATGGAAAGTAAATGCTTTGGTTGTAGGCGACAAGGTGCAGTAATTTGAGAGAATAACGAACGGGTGTTTTTTTTACTCTAGACCATTGAACAAACACACTGCAGCACGTACAATGGGGGTAGGGACCTTCCCAACGCGTGGAATTCAATTAATCAACATGAAATACAAATGTTTTCTTTTGTACATCAAGAAGAAGTCTTTTCTTCCTCTATTTTAATTGAAAAGTAGCTCTAGCTCTGTCATGCGGGTTGTACGGAATAGGTATGAGCGTTCAATGAGCTCAACCGCATGTCTTTGAATAATAAAACGCTCATCTACATGCTCCTTATAGTTTTTTGACCTCACTTATTGTTAACCAAATGTTAACTGTTATTCAAAGCAAGAAAACATAATTAGCAATTAAATTAATCAATTTACAGAGAAAAAAGATTGTTCTGTCTACATTTGTTAATATTACCTGCTCACTTCAAGTTTTAAAATTTTTTCAAGCATTTCCAGTATTTGTGTATGGATTAGTGGTAAAAGTATTCATTTAACAAAGTAAATAGAAAATAAAAATTGAAAATTTCTTGTCATTATGAATTGCAAAAAGCACCTAATTTTTAATTTTGCAAGGTCAAAAATCTTCCTGATTAAAATGTATGTCTGATCCAATCTGATCTGCTAGAAGAAAAGTCTTCTCTGTATCTGTATATTTTAAAATCTATCTGTTACTGTTTATTTAATTGCTGTTGGAACTCCTATGTTTAATAATATACATACAACTAGATTGCCTGTAATTACAGCCTCAACAGAAACCTATGGTTAATTAAGTCAGCACATTTTGCAATTGAATAAAAATGAGCGCGCAAGACAGGATTTGCAATCATACGTGCAAATCTAAAAATATAACTTGTTCTAAATTTAATATGTTGCTATTCTGGTTGGGGAGATTTACTACTTCTGTTATTTCGCAATGCAAAAGCCATACTGACTACTTCTTGTTTGCATAAAAAGTAGCGATATGAAAAAGCTTTTTGTGAAATCAGAGAAGAGCAGAGAAGATTAGTTTTAAAAATGGAAGCCGCGCCGACATGAAATTCAATCCAAAAGCCGCTCGCCGGAGGAACTTCTGTACGCACACGTACGTAATGTTACGCTCGAAGCGAGCGAGCAATTCAATTCAAATCACGTAACCCAAGCCCTTTCTCATTTATCACCAATTCCACCCGTTTTCTGCTCACCGACCGACCGACTAACTTGACTCGACGATTTATGAAGCAGCCGTTTTATCAACGTAGAAAGAGAGAAAGAAAGACTTGACTGCTGAGACGTTGACAGCAATTTTCTCAACTCTTTTATGTCTTTCCGCTCAATCCGTATATTGTGGATTTATCAGGCAATAATCTGCATCAAATAGCCTCTTTGCTTGATTTGAGTTAGGAAAAGATATAAAATATTGGGCTGTTTATAG